GGGGGGAAAAAATAAAATAAATAAAATCTTTAAAGAATGACTACTTTTTGAGGTTTGATGTTTTATTATTAAAGAAGAGTATTTAAAAGTACCTTTAAAAAGCTATTAATATACTTCTTTTCCCAATTAAATATCTGTATGAGATGAGATTTTCTTGATATGCCTCAACCATAGCAACATATCACACCAGGTTGAACAAAGAAGCAGCTACAAGAATCCAGCTCTCATCTATTAAGTCATTTATTAAATAGACTTGCCAAAATATAAGATAATTTCACTTCTCTCACTAAGTATTTTTTGGAAAATCTAGGTATTTTTCAGAAAAATATTATTTGTATTAACATGTAATAGATTCACTATTGTTATCTCAATGAATTACTTAAATACTTAAAATGTTTCTTAGTTTTAATTTTGAAAGTGGTAAATACTAATAGGTGTCCCCCACATATACCCTTTGGGTTCCCAAAATATCAATAATTTTGAAGAATATAAAGGGTTTTGTGAAAACTGCTGGTTTGTGGGAAAAACATTTCAGTCAGAACAGCTGGTAAAGACTCCGAAGTAGGAACAGGCTCAGCATATTTAAAGGTGAGGGAAAAATCCAAAATGTCAGAGTGTAAGGGAAAAGGAGAAAAAAAAAGAAATGAGATGGGGTTAGCAAGTCCAGCCTGGGTCAGATCCTTTAAGGTCTTACACACCAAAGGTGAGCAACTTCTAAAGAAGCAGAAGTGACACTACCAGATATGATTTAGAAAATAAAACTTCAACAATGAGACCACAGAAAATTTAAGCTTGATTGTATCCAAAATTCATGAATCCATGGTGAAAATATATTCTCATATACCATTGATGGGATTGATAATCAGAACGACATTTTTGAGACAGTTAGACCATAACTGCAAAGTCTGAAATGTGCATGCACTTTTCTCCAGAAATTCTGTTTATGGAATTTTCCTATTGCACTAGTGCACCAAGTTTGCTAAATACAATATTGTTTGTCATAACAATTAAATAATCAAAATAACAAACAAAAAATGTTGAAACCACTGAGTCACTCACCGTTGAGCAAAAACATAAGTTTTGATATACGTATACAATGGCGTGCTCTGTAATTATATAAAACACTAACAAAACAAAATAAGATAAATATTTTAGATGAAAAATGCAGGATATATAGGACAGGAGAGAGAGACAGAGAGAGAAAGGGAAATGAAATTCTGTCATGTATTTAGGACGTGTCTGAAATATTTGAAGTAATAAACAAAATCTAGACAACGATTACTTCTGGGAGTGGGGTAGGAAAGTCAGTTGGGTGAGGGATTATTTTACTTTTAACCCTACATCCTGGTATGCTGTTAAATGTTTCAGCATGTTATAGCATTCATATATATTACTTTCATAGTGCAAACAAATTAACACAAAAATACAACAAATCTTACTATTGATAATTCTAAAAATTTATTTTCATGTAAGATGCCAGGAGAGATGGAATCAATTGTAAAAGGAGTTTAAAAATATACATCTATTTGAGCATAAGGACTATGAAGATGAAAATATTTCCATGGCTTGTAAGAAATGCTAAAATTGAGAATGGTAATAAGATTGATATGAGGGGAGAAAAAAATTCAAATCCACTCCTTCATTGTCTGATTTGAAAACATAAACCACTTACTAAAAAGGCATTTTCATTTCAAATGTGTCTATTGAGATAAGCAGAGTAGACAGATTTTGTACAACCAATTTGAGGAATAAAATTCCATTGTATGTGATAGTGCTTTGCAAATTATAAGAGAAAGCAAATGTTCATTGTAATATTAAAAAATAACAACTACATTATGGTATATCCATATAATAGAACTTCATGTAGTAAATAAAAATGACATTAGAGAATAATATTTAATGATATAGAAAAGTATACACAACTTACATTATGTGGAAAAGGATATGAAACTATCTGCATGGTGTTGTAATATTTTTGTGAAAACCAAAGTATCTATGAGTTTGTGTGTGTACACACACACCCTAAGAAAAAACACAAAAGATGATTATCTCTGGGCTAGAATATTTATTTTCATCTTTTCCCTTAAAAATATTCTCCAGTATGCTAAAATTCTTATTTTCTCCTTTCCCCTTGCATTTTCCAAATGTGCTAAAACAAACTATGTTTATGAAATTTGTTGTAAGAAAAAGGTTGAGTTCAAAACCTCAATGTATAAGATGATACAAATAGAACTGTCTCCTCTACTAATAGGGAATTGTCATATGTCATCATATTCTATGTTCTCAGGTGACTTCATTTATGTAGATGCACAGTCATACAACACTATCCACAGAGTGCAGGGAAGCGTGCAATGCCATGCATCTACCACAAAGGGAAAACAATGTCACAGTTGGTTTGGATGGAATCCTGGCAACACATTAGCTTTAGCTCTTCACATGAGAAAAAAGACCTGCCACAGAACTTGGGCAATTTGTTTAATAGAACCCATCAATTAGACGATCTCTGAGACTCATTCCAAATCTGTGGTTCTATGACTCTATGAATAATAACTAATAACAACTATAAGATGTTAAGCATTTCAATGTACCAATCCCTTTATTACAAGTGACTATAATCCTATACCAATGGCATTATACACACGGTGTCCTTTGTTACTCTTAAGTTTTCCTACAGACATCATCATATCCATTTTAAAGATTAAGACACTAAAGCTATCAAGATTACAGAATTTTTTCATTTTTACTCCTGGTAGGTTGCTTGAGAAAGTTTCTAATCTCTCCACAAAGTCTGGGCTCTTCACTACTTTCCTATTTATACCCAGGACCAATTTTTCAGAGTTCATCAGCTAGCCTGGGACAAGCAGGATCTGCCATCAAAATGATTATGACAAGGGAAACAGTCAAGTTGTGGTGAGCCTGGGGGTTTTGAGAAGTCCAGGGTTAGATTCGGAATGAGGTGGGTGAAACAGTCATAATGTTCCTCATCATCCTTGCTGGTCTCAGGTAACAGAGGAAATCCAATTGGTGGGATGAGGGGGCAACTCAATAATTTTAACATGAATATTGATGAAACCTCCAACATCCATTACCACAAATGACTGGAATCTCTATTTGCCAGGGTGGAAATCTTATATCTTACGAAGAAGGTGTAGTGGGGATGTGAGTGTGTATGAGCATGTGAATGTGTGATGTACAAGAAAAGAAACTATTGCTTAGATAATTTTTTGCCTTCTTAAAATGATTGCCTAGTTAATATTTCAGCTTTTTCTCAACTGATAATAATATTGCCTATAAAATATTTTAAACTGATTAAATTAACTACCTTGTCTCGGCTCCATCCTGTTCACCGTCTTCTCAATGGGTGCAGATGTTCATGATTTTGTTCCTCCATTTATTTGTTAGTTGACTTTTAGCAAATTATTTAGGTTTTCTGAGTCTCCATTTCTACTTCTGAAAATGTGATAATAATAATTACATGGATTTTAAAGCATGAAATTTAAAGTTAGAAACGTGAAAATTCTGAGAATAAAGCATGGGACAAAGTAGATACTCTATAAATATCAATTTCATTTCTTTCTAATGGACCAAAGAAATATGCTTTAAAATGTGCTACAATAACCAATTATTGGTCTCACAGAACTGATTTTATTATAAAAGTATATATTGACAATATCAACTTCACAATGAGCTAAATCCAATTTAATGCATTTAAACTCTATTACAAACACCACAACACATGTATTGCTTCATAAAGAAAAATTCTAGGAGTAGATAGCTGGAATTTTCAAACAAAATCTCAGATTATAGAATTTGACATTCTCAAAGTTAATGCTTAGAATTGTTTTAACAATACTACAACAAGCCACTTAATTATATATGACTAGTCTATTTGTCTTTTCTTTTTTTATTTCTTCTAAGTTTATTTATTTCCTCTATTATAAAACTAAAGTCTTTCTATAATGTTCTTAATAATAAAATGTTATACTATGAATCACCTTATAGTTGAGTTACTTTCAAGAAGATTATTTTATTTTTTAACAATTCAATGACAAAAATAAGGCATTTATTCTAACATTAATTTTTAAAGTTAATGCATTAGTAGTCACAGAGATTAAATAACTTTCCACAGTTCACAGCTAAAAAGTGACATCTTTGTTATTTTAAAAGTGAAAAATCTTACAATATGGCAAGTTATATTCAAACATCTGATTCTAAAAGTTCTTATAAACATGAGGAAATGAAAATTTTGGAGGAAAAAGGTATCCTATAAATACAGCTGATACAATCACAAAAGGAAATAGACAAGGAATTGAGTAGATCTCTCATTTGCTAGAAGCATGCATCAGAAACTGACAATGACAGATACATCAACCAGGCCTTTGGGAGATTACAGCTTTTCATAACTTTTAGTTTTGAAAAAAAAAATTGCTAGCATGCAATGACAGAGTGAAAGATTATTGCCTTGTGATATTTTTAGTATACACATTTTTTTTCATGTTCTTTTATGTTTTTTGGCATTAAGCTATAGAATACTATCCCCAAGTAAGGTTTTGGACGAATTCCTAAGTTAAATCCACAAAATAAGAAACAGGCAGGACATTGCTGATTGGTTCCAGACCCGAATAGCATAAAACGAGTCCCCTTAACAGAAGAGGCAAACTAGAAATGCTGACATTTATCATTTGCGTCAGAGTGTAAATGAAGCATTTTTCATTTTTTAGAAACTAGTGTAAGTTACCTTCCTGGCCAAAAATTGAGTTATTCCAAGTAAATCATTATAGATTTCAAGAGTAATGGGCAAAAAGGATTCAATTCCTCTGAGTCTGCTCATTTGCATTTTCCTGAAATTCTTTGTTCTGTCTGTGATTTATTAAACCTTTAGATGAACATGATAGTCGGTTGAGAAAATCGCACTTAACTGTTGCCACAGCTACAAAAGTAAAGAGCTTTGTAAGAGAAATGTTCTCACTGTAGATGCCTCATTCGCAGCAGGACCCAATTCTTGGTTAAAAGCTATGGTATTTGGGCTAGTTAAGCAGGTATCTCTCTCCCACTCCATAGGGAATGAGCTGGGCAGACTTTGCTCACCACGTCCACCTGCACTTCGTTAGGGAGCAGAGCGTTCACATGCCACACCACAAGATCCCCACAATGACATAACTCCATTCAGAGACTGGCGTGACTGGGCTGGGTTTCCCCCCTTCAGCTCTTGTATCACTAAGAATCTGGCAGCCAGTTCCGTCCTGCAGAGTTTACAGCATATATTGGTGGATTCTTGTCCATAGTGCATCTGCTTTAAGAATTAACGAAAGCAGTGTCGAGACAGTAAGGTAAGTGCTGTTTTAACTGTAGCACTGGGGATGCTCATGTTTGGGACAGTGTTTATTGTAACAGGAACAGAAAAACTTCCAGAGCAACTTTACCAACTGCTAGTCAACAGCAAATCCAGTTTTGAGCGTTTACTTTCACATTTTGCTTAATATGCTTTCTATGATTTATGGATTTGAGATAAATTTTAGACAGTGTATACTGTATTGCTTGTCGAAGGAAGTTATAAAAAGTTTCAAGCTTGGAATGAGAAAATATTTAAACTAGACACAGTGAAAACGTATGGTAATTGAAATGTTTGTTATTTTAATGCTAATTAGTTATACATATATATATGTTAGTATTGTTAGAACCTAATTTTGGAGCAAAGAAAGGCCATTTCCATCAGTATTCAAAATATTTTGCAGCAAATATATTTTTATAATTTGTTACAATTTGTCATAAAAATTTTGTTATAAAATGTGAGCTAAAGGACTTAGACACATGGATTACTTATTTCTATTTTGTTAACTAAAAAAAATTTTTTTTGCATGTATGTCTTAAGGAACATGTCGTAAAGAAATTCTGGGAAACATGATTTACTTTTCGAAAAAAAACATTTCCTCTGTAGCCACAGGTATTTGAAAAAACTGAGGGGAAACTAAAGTGTGATTTAGCTTCATAATGGAGTCATTATATGGTTACAAACTCTCTTTGGATTCAGAGCCCTTGTTTTTACTCTGCCAAAAAATATGGAAACATTTTTTTATCACTATTCAATACTCATATTTTAGTTACCATGACTATTTTGGTGTATACTCAATTTAAAATAAGGTAGAGGCTTATTAGTGAAGCAAGACAAATCTTAACATTAACATACTGTAACTTATAAAGAATCTTATAATTACATTAGCACTGTGTAATTGTTCTCATGGCCAAGTCCTGTCAGCTGAATGAAATGACTCGATCATAATCCTAAGGAACAATTTACTAAGAATCTGGCTACATGTTACATTATGTCAGCTATCAGAGTGATTCTAACAACTTTTTTTGGGTGTTTCATCTGCTAAATAAGGTACTTTATAATTCCAAGCCAAAGCAAAGCAAAGTATACTTAAAATTCCCGATACCAAAAAATCCTACTTATCTCAAGCAACCTAGGTTCCAAAAGCTTGTACCCTATTTCTTACAGGAAGATATGTATTTTATGGTTATCTATTGGAATGTGGATCCTGCTTCACATTAATGATTTCCCTCCCAGAGTTACCAACTTCTCCTCAGCCATAACTCTTCACTCTACAGAAGTCCAACTCTTATATCCTGTTTCCCTTTACCTAAATTGTTGACCCATACTTCCCCAAGCAACTGAAATGTACTTTATTGAGCTTCACCTTAGAAACATGTTTATATGAGATCACTCTTACAAATTGTTTTTAATTTAGAGTCTCAGTTTTATCCTTTCCTACATGGCTCCTAATGCCACTGTTATATACAGACTTTCCTCAATTCCCACTTTTCTGCCACTTTCATTCTGTGAGAGCACTAAAATCTGGATAAGTGAATCATGTCTTCTTAAATTTTGGCATGAAGGAGGTAGAGAACTTGTGAGTTATTGAGATAAAGGAAAACTTCAATTCAAAACTTGGAAAAGAATATTTTTCTCTACCAGTTAGATCTCTTTCTAGGTTTAAAAGTTTTTACAATTTGCGACATTTCCCTGATTAATAAACATTAGTTTTACTAAAACTGATATGCTAAATATTAATTTCAGAACACAGTTTTGTAATGTGCTTAAAAAGTATGGAATGTCAAACCAAAGATGAAATAATACCCACACACACCCCCACCAAGAATTCTGTTCCCCTTCCTCAGAACCAACAATAATAACCAGACGTTTTTAAAGGAATGTTCTCCATCCCACTCCCAACACACACTCACATAAGAACAGCTTTCCTTCAGGCAAAACCACAGATTGCCCACGTTCCCAGTAAGGGTCTTCTTAATGAGACATTTTAATGATATTGAATGATAGGGTAGAGGGTACAGTTTACAATGGTCTTCTCATTTTTATTTCTTCTGGTTTTGAAGAGTGTTCTGAAGCCGTGTTCTAACATGGTGGTCAATGGGCACCACCCAGAAACCTCTTGCAGGAAGGCATTTAATTAAAGAAGGACAGAGAGAGACTGACGGGAACAATAAGGCCTGGCTTGCCCAGTAGGGGGCGCATGTGTATGCAATGTAACCTGAACCTTGTTCACCACCCCACAAGATGTAAACGTACATCCTATTCTCACACTTAAATAAAAATTAAAAAAACATCATTAGATGCACTAAAAAATCACTGTGAAATAATAAAATATACATTAGCTAGTGCATTGAACATTGCAAATCAAATATCCTTTTCCTGAAATTATACTATTTTATAATAATATATGTTTCCACTTTATTTAGGATTCAAAGCATTTGCCAAAAATGAATCTAGGTTCGTTTACTCTCCTCTTGGCATTGATCGGTGGTGCCAGCGGCCAGTACTACTATGATTACGATTACGTCCCCCTATCGATTTATGGGCAATCATCGCCAAACTGTGCTCCAGAATGTAACTGCCCTGAGAGCTACCCGACGGCCATGTACTGCGATGAGCTCAAACTGAAAAGTGTGCCAATGGTGCCTCCTGGAATCAAGTACCTTTACCTTCGGAATAACCAGATTGACCATATTGATGAGAAGGCCTTTGAAAATGTAACTGATCTTCAGTGGCTCATTCTAGATCATAACCTCCTAGAAAATTCCAAGATAAAAGGAAGAGTTTTCTCTAAACTCAAACAACTGAAGAAGCTGCATATAAATCACAACAATCTGACAGAGTCTGTGGGTCCGCTTCCCAAATCTCTGGTGGACCTGCAGCTCACTCACAACAAGATCTCAAAGCTCGGCTCCTTTGATGGACTCGTAAACCTGACCTTCGTCCACCTTCAACACAATCAGCTGAAAGACGAGTCCGTTTCAGCTGCCTTGAGAGGTCTTAAGTCACTTGAGTACCTTGACTTAAGCTTCAATCAGATGACCAAACTGCCTTCTGGTCTTCCCGTGTCTCTGCTAACTCTCTATTTAGACAACAATAAGATCAGCAACATCCCTGATGAGTATTTCAAGCGTTTTAATGGACTGCAGTATCTGCGTTTATCTCATAATGAACTGGCTGATGGTGGAATACCTGGAAATTCTTTTAATGTCTCATCTCTGCTTGAGCTGGATCTCTCCTATAACAAGCTTAAAAACATACCGACTGTCAATGAAAACCTTGAAAATTATTACCTGGAGGTCAATGAACTTGAAAGTAAGTAGAAAGCTCTGCCTGTGTTTGATTGATGTTTCCTCAAGTTTTTAAATGCCTAAGCTGTGCAACAAAAATATTGCATCTGGCTCTATTTAAAAAAAAAAAAAATGAATGAATATGCCAATAAAATATCCCTGTAATTTAAATATAGAAGCATTCTAGCTCAGTTATTTATCCAATGTCTAGCCTTTCTTTGGAATGTCCAGATGAGAAGCCATTAAGATCATAGAATTTAAACGCTAATTTCTTCTAATTTAATATTCAGGGCTAATTAATCTTGCTGACTTATCGCTTGATATTTGTCTATTATTATTTACCTCCTTCATGACTTTGATTTGTGTCCTACATTTTTTTCTTGGCAAGATCTAGCTGAAGGAGGAATACACAAGTCCGGAAGAGGCAAAGCTAGCAGAGGCTTTCAAATCTCCCTCCTGCTCATCCCCAGAGCAGCCCACGTATACTGATGGTCTTCTCTCACATCTTTGCTTGGGACTCAACATATTCCTCTGCTATCACGATCACCACCTCTCCCCCTGTTTTCCCTGTTATCATGTGCGTGCTCTTCACAGCGTTCCTATGAGGCCTGAGGAAGATTAAGGAGGGAAGGAATATAAGGGTTTGGAACATTTTTTTAATAGTACTACAGAGCCTCTTTTCTTATATACAATGCTTTACCTCATTTGCATTTTCCACAGCTTCTCCTTCCTTTCTCTTGCTGCTGTAGTTTATTTTTCATTTATCTTCTCGTCGGGAGTTTGACCTGATCCACTTGGGCTGTTTATGCACCTGTCTGGTCTTCTGGGACATTTTTCAACTTAAGCTACACAGATTCACGTGAGAAATTGACATTGTCCATTCCCCACCTTGGTATTTAATAAGGGTTCGCAGAAGAGAAAACCTATGATTCACAGATTAAGTTTTTTAAATGAAAAATCAGGTGGAAAACACTGATTCACACATAAAACAATAATATCTGCAAAATAACGTATTGAAATTGAACATCGTCTTTATACCATGAAAGTTGGTTCACTTGACATAGGATAAGGATACTGACATTCCTATTGGAAAAATTACAGTGTGCCTTATTAATATGACACTTTATAATCTGAAACAGTTTTATGTGGTAGAGTGGGGATGTTCTCATGAAGGAGACCATGACTGCCAACTCTGAAATGCCGCGTGTTCTTTCTTGTATCTGGAAAGCTTGCTTGTTGTACAATACACAGTCAAGCTATCAGAGCTGAACTATTACAGTTGTTTCCAGTGGAAAATTCACTATGTGGCAATATGGTCCCACATTATAAACATTTGTGGTTAGGAGGAAGGATACTCAGACAGGCCAAAATGTTAATGGGATTTAAGATGTTTGAAGGCTGAAGAAATCCATTAGATTTGGTGGGTGGAGGTTAGCCCTGCAGGAACGGGACTACCTCCTACTCTGAGACAAGAAAGGGGACAGATACAGACTTAGGAGCATTTGGAAGTATAAAGACCAGTTTTCCTTGTATGAGTAAAAGAAGGAAGAACCAGTCCAGGAGATGGGAAAGGTGGCCTATGGGAAAAATGCCAAAAGCCACTCAATGCCAAGCTGAGATGGAAACCACAGTGTCCGGCACACATGGAGAAAATGAGTAGTTACCTTTCTTCCTTCCTTATCCTTGATGTTTAGGTATATACATTTCAGGTATTCTCATCATTTGACTTTGCATGTATGTCTTCAATTTAGTTTATTTTGCCACATAATAATGATGCATATCAATTATCTACATTCTCTTAAGATAAAAAGAGCCCCTTAATGTTTCTCTAACATTGGGAAATAGATAGCCAAAAACTCTCTCTCACATTTAAAACTTGCAACTTTAAGCATTAGCCTAATCACAGATCTTCCTAATATAATTTGGAAAAGAGAACAAAATTAAAAGGACACCAATAATTATTTAGTACATATTAACGTGCTAGCACCATGTGAAATGCTTTACATGCCTTAATTAATTTAATCTTCGTGCAACACAGTGTGAAAGATATGTTATAACAAGAAGATCAGACAAATGTTCCACAGTCACCTAGATGGTACATGGCAGAGGTAGGAAACTAATATAGGCCTAAGCCCATGTTGTTTCCATTGTTCCATACTTTCTCAGAGGTAGGTACCATAAGAAAGATCCTTAGAATTTGATTGATGAATTATTTAAGACAAGATCTTAGAGGAAAGGAGTACAGTGTGTTTAGGTTTCCACTGAAATCATTGTTAAGTAGAGTTTGAGAACGAAAGAAAATAACAAGATAAAGGACCAAATAAGGTTAATCTGAAATAGACTTGGGCAAAATAGACTATGTACACACATAGATCATGCCATCTAGTAACAGTCTTAGTTTCCATTAAAAACTAAATCAGTGTTTCACTTGTGGCAGCTTTTTGACCAGAGGAAAAAGGTCATGGGCTCAGGTGGTGGACATTCCATGATTTTGTTTTTGTTTTGGAGTTTTGAATCATTGTCGTGAAGTGTGGTTGTTAGACAACTCTTTAGAGGTCACCTAGTTAACCTTTCTTATTTTAAGCTGCAAAACCCCAGGATGTTTATATTGGTGAGATTGTTCATACAACAGCACCAGTCTTATATTTTTTCAGGCTAGACTAATAGTTCAAAAGAATGCTTAGATAATGTGATACACTAATTGAATGTCTTTCTAAAATCAAGTATTTCTAAATCAAGAACTTAAATAAGTTCTGTTCTTTGAAAAATTCCGTTGAGGGGCCAGCCCTGTGGCATAGAAGTTAAGTGCGCGCGCTCCGCTGCTGGCAGCCTGGGTTTGGATCCTGGGTGCGCACCGATGCACCGCTTGTCAGGCCATGCTGTGGTAGTGTCCCATATAAAGTGGAAGAGGGTGGGCACGGATATTAGCCCAAGGCCAGTCTTCCTCAGCAAAAAGAGGAGGATTGGCATGGACGTTAGCTCAGGGCTGATCTTCCTCACAAAAAAAAAAAAAAAGAAAAGAAAAATTCCATTGAATGTCCTGATCTACCATAGATATTCTTTTTTTTTTTTCCTGAGGAAGATTTGTCCTGAGCTTACATTCATTGCTAATCTTCCTCTTGATTATCTTGAGGAAGATTAGCCTTGAGTTAACAACTGCGCCAATCTTCCTGTAGGTCACTGCTACCTCATGGCTGACAAGTGGTGTAGGTCTGAGCCCGGGATTCAAACCCACAAACCTGGGCCGCTGAAGTGGAGCATGCCAAACTTAACCACTGGGCCACAGAGCCAGCCTCTATCATAGATATTCTTTACTGAATATTGCTGTGTCATTTGGTAGCCTGAAATATTCCTTTAGTAGTTCCGAATTCAAAGATACATCAAATGAGTGGGAAGAGGGGCCAGCCCGGTGGCGTAGTGGTTAAGTTCACATGCTCTGCTTCAGCGGTGGCCTGGGGTTCACAAGTTCAGATCCTGGCGCAGACCTACACACCGCTTATCTAGCCATGCTGTGGCAGGCATCCCACATATAAAGTAGAAGAAGATGGGCCCGGATGTTAGCCCAGGGCCGATCTTCCTCAGAAAAATAAAAAAGAGGAGGATTGGCAATGGATGTTAGCTCAGGGCTAATCTTCCTCACCAAAAAAAAAAAAAAAAAAGAGTGGGAAGAAGTCCTAATAGATATTATTATGGATTTGAGGATTTTTTAAAATGTTTATCTCAAGCCAGTGTACTAAAAAAAATGATTAAAGCTTTCCATTCTTTAATTTCCAGAGTTTGAAGTAAAGAGCTTCTGTAAGATCCTGGGACCATTATCTTACTCCAAGATCAAGCATTTGCGTTTGGATGGTAATCGCCTCACCCACACTAGTCTGCCACCCGATATGTATGAATGTCTACGTGTAGCAAATGAAATCACCGTTAATTAATATCAACTAATTCCAATTATACTGAGGTGTATCCTGAAGCAACATTTTATGATTATTTTTTTTGTGAGTCAGTTTTCATAATATTCATTTTTTGTTGTTTATTACTTCCATGAATTTTAAATTCTGAGGGAAAATGTTTTGTAAACATTTTACTACTTTTTTTAAAAGAAAAGATGAGAGGCAGGCCTATTTCATCACAAGCACAGACACATACACACACACAGACAAAAAACTTAATGTTTTATTTGTAAATTTAGTGTTTTCTACATCCCTACTGTCAAATGATGTGCAAAGCCTTTTACTGGTTGAATGTAAGTCAGCCAAGTTTTATAATTCCTAAATCTTAACTTAATGTGCCAAAAAGCATGGACTGCATACATATGGATGCTTACTGTCTTGAACAAAATTATCTCAATTTTCAAATGTTCAGATTTCAAATTTTAATGTTCAAATTTGTTTAGCTGAAAAATAGGTGGTAAATTTTGAGATCAATGATTTTGCAAAATACTAGACAAAATTCATGAAGCCGCAAACACATACAACAGTATTTTTAGTATTAAGAATTTATAGTTACCTAGTGAAACTTTTCTTTTCTAGAATTATTTTTCACTCTAAGTCATGTGTATGTTTCTTTTTGATTATTTGCATGTTATGTTTAACAAGCTAATAGCAAAATAAAACATAGCAAATGGCATCACTGTGTTTGACTTCTTGTGACATTCATATGTCTCATATATAAAATAATAGATTAGAATTCAAAAAATATCTCTAGCCTGCTATATTTTACTTATGTTAAATAGAATTTTTAAATAAATCATCTTCTTGTAGTATTACCAAAACCAAAGTGAGTTTACCTCCTGGTGAGTTACAATCAGACTCTCCCCCAGAAGTAGTTGTCACACAAAGTAGGGTATATTTGCAGCAAATAGGAGGCCACATGGAATCATTTCCAAAGTCCTGGTGGCCCTGAACAAAGGGAAGCAGGGACCTTTTATTTCAGGTGGGGAATGAATATTCAAAAGGGAGAGGTGAGCATTGGCTTTCGCAGGCTCAGCTGGAAAACATGCTCCCACATACACTGCAGGTGATGGTGATAAGGCCTAAGCTCCTCCCAGAGAGGAGATTTTAGCATTAAAAATGAGGCAAAGGTCACAGGCATTGCTCCTGTAGTGGGGCATGGTCTGGTTCAGGGTGGTTGGTGATTGCATCTCTTAAACAGTTAAATGCTTCCGAATCCACCCTTGAGTTCCTTGGGGCAATTAGTCAGTGACAGAAGCATCCACTTGCTAAGAGTTTTTAAATATATCTTACAATACTGTACTTAAAAGTGTACAGATCCCAAACTCAATTTGTAAGGTGGAAGGATTTCCCCTCTTCCCCCACCAAGCAATTCTCTGGACACACCAACAGGTGTCCTCCAATTCAATTCAATTCTGACACTATCTACCTAGAGATAGCATGTCACAAGCTCAGGTAGTTACTTGTACTTCTGACCAACAGGCTATAAATCGGAGGTTCCCAAGACTCACTCCTTGGGTTTGATTAATTCGCTAGAGCAGCTCACAGAACTCAGGAAACTCATTTACTCACTAGATTACTGGTTTATGAAAAGGATACAATTCAGGAACAGCCAGATAGAAGAGATGCATAGGGGAAGATATGGGGAAAGCGGAAGGAGCTTCCACGCCCTCTTCAGGAGCTCCACTCTCCCCAAATCTCTACATGTTCACCAACTTGGAAGCTCTCCAAACCTTTTCCTTTTGAGTTTTTATGGAAGCTTTATTACAAAGGCATGATGGACTAAATCATTGGCCATTACAGTTGAGTTCAATCTCCAGTCCCTCTGGCTTCCCCAGAGGTTGAGGGGAGGGACTATAAATTCCAACTCTCTAATCACAGGGTTGATTCTCCTGGCAACCAGCACCCATCCTTAGGTTACCTAAGGGCTTTCCAAAAGTCACCTCATTAACATAACAAAAGACAATTTTGTTGCTCTTATCACAGGAAATTCCAAAGGTTTTAGGAGCTATGAGCCAGAAACCGTGGACAAAGACCAAATATATATGAGAAATATATTTTGGTCATCTGAATGACCAAATATATATTTCTTATAAATCACAATATTGCAGTACTTAAATCTCACAACTTTCTTGAGTATTTGCCATTATTCCCATTTCTGTTGGTTTTACTAATTCATATGCAATGATATTGTATTAAATAAGAAGCTGCTATAAGATCTCATCAATCACTGCTTGATTGTTAAGCAAAAATGGTGGCTAACTCCCAGGAGTGAAAATGTTGAATGTATATAAATGTTTCTGAAAATAAGACTTAAAAAAAAATCAATTTATTTTGAAGCCAATACATTTGTAACAGTTTATAATCCAGTAATAACAAGTTTCATCTTTCTATATTATGAATACTCATGATTCCATACAATGGGAAATAGTAGTGTATATAATTTATAAAACTAACTTCTACTTTATCTAGTTAACAATAAAGCATATGTCTAGAGCCAAATGTCATGCAGTCAAAAATATACTCATGCCATATGAGTGCATATATAGTCTCAATGTGTCTACAAGAAAGGAAGTGTTACCAGGTCCTAAGCGACAGGTGACCAGTGACCCGCAAGTGGGTCCTTTTGCCTGGAGCTGCCCCACACCAATAGAACGAGACCAGGTTCAGAATAGCAGAGCAGAAACTTTATTCATCGGGCAATGAACGGAGGAGGCAGAGCTCATGCTCTAAAACACCTTATTCCAGAAGGGCAGGTGAGCAAGGGTTTTTACAGGACGTGAAGGAGGAGGGGTCTCCATGTCATCACCTGGGGGGGACATTTGGGGCACGCACAGATCTTCCCTTATGGCACATGGCACCTTTTGTACGTGTTTCCTTTTGCACACGGCACTCCATTGCCATCTTGGACCTTTCTGGTTTGGACCGGTTCTGTGGTGTGGCCATCTGGCAATGTTCTCCCTTGATTCCTATAAGCAAGTACAACTTAAAAACAAAGCATCAGACATGGAAAATATTTTAGGGACTTCCCTGGGTGACAGAAGCATCTCTCTAAAGCATACTATGTTTTAACAGAACATTTTTTAGCAAACTCTATCCTATGATAAAATGAGCTATCCTCAAAGGACCATTATCACTTAAGACTAAGTTGACCGGCAGATGTGTGAGATGTATATTACATTAAGTACACTGTGTATTTTTTTTTTTTTTTTTTGAGGAAGATCAGCCCTGAGCTAACATCCTGCTGAATCCTCCTCTTTTTTGCTGAGGAAGGCCGGCTCTGAGCTAACATCTATTGCCAATCCTCCTCTTTTCTTTTTCCCCCCAAAGCCCCCAGTAGATAGTTGTATGTCATAGTTGCACATCCTTCTAGTTGCTGTATGTGGGACGCAGCCTCAGCATCGCCAGATAAGCAGTGCGTCGGTGCGAGCCGGGATCCGAACCCAGGCCGCCAGTAGTGGAGCACGCGCACTTAACTGCTAAGCCACGGCCCGGCCCCCACTGCGTAGTTTTTATTGTCTTGTCTTTCCTCCATAAAGGTAAATTCCTTGAGCCAAGACAGTACTTTCAACCATTTCTTGGTATGAACTTAAAGTCAATTTTCTCTCAATGAAACTGTAATACACAAGAAATGAAAATAAATTTTCCTTGCCCTATCTGTAGAAATTCACCGTCAATCCCTTGATACATACCTTCAAGTAGGTAGTAGAGAATGTACCATAAATTCTCTTTTAGAAAGAATGTTACAGAATTCAACGAGTTTTGTCTCTATATCACTTAGGGAAAATATCTTGTCAGATGACAGTCTACATCTCTAAAAGCCTTTGATTTCTCTCTAACCAAAGTCATATGTTATTCTCAAGCCTAAAAAGCAAAACTGTAACTTTTAAAACAGCAATTCCCTTTGTAGTTAAGTTTGATTGACATGGACCAAATTAAGCACAAAGTGACGTTTTCTTGTAGAAGCATCTGGGGAAGACACTAGAAGGATCCTGTTTGGGGACACCTCCCCTTCCTAGAGGCCAGAATCCATTTCTCCAGGGCAGAGCTGGAGAAGAGAAGCTTCCAGCTTGTTCCTTCACTCATTATGATAGCCCTAGGAAGGAAATGATATTGGAGACTTTTTTTATCTGCTTTTCCTTCATACCCCCACTCCCATCCCAGTTAGGGTAGTGTTTTTCAACATTCCAGTGTATAATCAGCATGTTGAAATGCTTTTCTAAATACAGATTACCAGACACAATGCCCCAGATATACAGACCTAGTAAGTTACACAACGTAGGATTCCACATTTTTAAGGAACTTTCATGGTTATTCTTATACTGGTTGTCAGTGATACACATCTTTAGAAACATTGACTTGGTGTGATCAAGCCATTGAAATTCCAAACAGTTAAAAAGGAGAAGAGTCCAAGCCAGTTTTTTGCAACATACATACATGAGAGTAAATATTATTTTTCCCGTATGCTAATTCATTTAAACTCTCTAACTCTCAGTTTCTTCATCTGTAACCAAAGAATAAAAATGCTAACTTCATGAAGATATCATGAGACACTTCTGCCACTCAACTAACTTGAGAGCTGCTTTAGAGGTATTTCTTGCCTGCCTATGCTCCTTTCTCTCCAGAGTGGCCCAGCTGGTCCTCTATCAGGAGAGATGGCTTGGGATTTGCTTGGATTAAATTTTAAGAAGACACCTAGGGGAAATGGTCAAAAACAGTGAATTTAAAACAGGAATTTCTCTCGACTGTCTCACTAACAACAATGATTCTGATTTTGTCTCCTTCTAGATAAACAACTTCAGGAATGGATTAAAACAATGAGGCATATGGACTCTTTTCTTTCCTAAGATTGATTGACTGGAGATTTTGCTGTAGACCCTGATTTGGGGGGAAAATGAAAAAAGGAGAAAAGCGCGTCTTTATTCTCGACATCTCCATTGAAAATCAGGGCTAGGTGGTGTCTTTGATGAAGGAGAACTATGATGTATTCGGGCTTTGAGAGGAATTATCATGCCCTAATAAGTATAAAAAATACAGTTGGATGATAGACCACTAAATGAGCCAGAGGAATGTTGATTTCTTAGTTAAAAGTTTTCTAACTGGTAATAGCTGTTTTCAGAAATACTGGAGAGTTTAAAATGTTGGTTTTACAAAGGACTAAGAATGTTTTTCCTTGTGATCTTTTAAGTTTTGGGTTCTGTTTTTTCTATAGCTGTAATTTTATCATAATGATGGCCTTAGATTTTTCTTTGGTTGTATTTTGCAACCATCCTAATCACTTGCTTAACATTTTACTCACAAGTAAAAGAAAATGCTCATTTCATTTAAAGTGAACTATAAAGCAACTTTACTACTAGAACAAAAAGTGTACATAAAATACGTCATAAAAGCTAAAGTAGACATGCCATAAGTATATGAAATAAATAGAAATACATTTTTAAAATACCTAGCTAGTTATATTTATTTATTCACTCACGCATTCAGGAGATTTCGTTTCTTAACAAGATATAAGAAACTGAACTACAACACATGTAGGGAAAAGTAGGAATCCAGGCAACATAAAATGTGTAAGTTCCTATGCACCTTGACCTCACTTTGATAGCCCCAAGATTCCACTTCTACTGTGTAGGAGCTCCTCTTTCACATTTTGGTTGGCCCAAAGAGTATCTCCTACAT